TACAGCAGTGTGCACCTGTAGTCCCAGCTATGCAGGAGGCTGAGGTGGGAGGATCTCTTGAGTCCATGAGGTTGAGGCTGCAATGAGCTATAATCACACCACTGTACCTCAGCCTGGGCAACAAAGCAAGACCCCATCTCTAAAAATAAATTTAAAAAGAGCTCAAGAAGGTTTCTGGAGAGCCACTGATGAATTACATAAAAGTCACAACAAAAAGAAAGTTGTCTTACACACCTCAATTTAAAGGCAATAAAAAATGCTCAGTATCAACCCCTAAGGCTGAAGCATCTCCTTACCTCAGAAAGAGCTGGAAAAGCCGCTTCCTGTCTTTCCCATGGAAACATCAGAAAGTAACATCAAAAAGTAACCACTGAATCTTCAGGAGCTTGATTTTAGACTTCCAACCTCCAGGACGGAAAGAAATACATTTCTATTGTTTATGGGCCACCCAGGCTATTTTCTTATAGCAGCCTGAACAGACTAAGACCAGTGGATACAGAGCAGAGAAAGTAACATAGAGAACTCCCCTCTCTGAAGGAACGCGAGGCTGGTTTTTAAAATTTATTTATGACCTGATTCTTTCTACTCTCTTACAGGGTCCTCCGTCTCCATCAGACGGTCATGTCCCCTGTGCTTCCCTCCTTTGTCTATTTAGTGTATAGAATCCCAACATGATCTTCTGATGGAGAAAAATTCATCGTTTAAAATTATATGCTAAATCTCTCTACAAATTCTTCTTATCCTTGAGTTTAGGTCTTTTAATAGCCTGGTTTCTCTGTGCTCCTTCTGCTGAAAGTATCTGAAAAAATATTAGTCGCTCTTCTTATTGTGAGATGCTGTTTTTCAAATCATCTGAGGTGTCTGTTCTTTCTTCAAAGAATTTTACTCACAATGTGTCTAATGGAATTTGACATATGGGGAGAAAAGTGACTAAAAGATGAAAATGATTTAAAAAAAAAAACTTCACAAATGTATAAATGACAGCCAAAAAGCTTACTGAGTTACTTAAAGCCAAAGAAACAACAACAACAAAAAGCAAACATTAAAAGAACCCAGTGGCTTGATAGGACATCAAGAGGTCCTTTAATCCAATTTTCTCCAAGAAGCAACCATCCAGTAGGGCGTCTATCCCATTTTGAGGTCTTCCAAGGTTTTACCAATCAGCTTTGAGCCAGAAACTCAAAGCAGAGTTTAAGCAAAGCATATGATCAATCCCAGCGCTTTATTTCTGCAGTAGAAATCCTATTCTTCTTTTGCACTTTCTCCAAACATGGAGAATAACTGTTAGCATGTTTATCATGAAAGGCCAATCTCCCCACCCCATAATAGTTGTAACTCTTCACAGGAAAGCCCTGTATGGATGGCCGCACTGTCTCAAAGTTTATGTCCCCACCCCCCAAAAAAAATTCATATATTGGAACCTAATCACCAAGGTGATGGTATTAACAGGTGGGGCTTTTGGGTGGTAATTAGGTCATGAGGTGGGGGTAGCAGTCACAATGGGACCAGTGCCCTTATGAAAGAGGCCTACAGAGCTGCCTTATGCCTCCCCCGAATGAATAATGGGACCAGTCCCCTTATGAAAGAGGGCAGAGGGCACAGAGAGCTGCCTCACGCCTTCCACTCTGTGAGGACACAGAGAGAAGGGGCCATCTATGAACCAGAAAACAGCCCTCACCAAACACTTAATCTGCAGGAGCTTGACTTCAGACTTCCAAACTCCAGGACTGCAAGAAATAAACTTCCATTGTTTATGAGCCACCCAGGCTATGGTATTTTCTTAAAGCAGCCTGAACGTACTAAGACAAGTGGATACAGAGCAAACAAAGGGAACTTTACTTAGCCACTGAGAGAAAGGGCTGGAAACAAGTGGAGCTGAAATGAGCAAACTATCCAAATCCCTGTCACATCTTCCATTACTAATCAAATGAACACGTGTGCACCAGTAGCAATTTTCTGGCCGAGACCTGGGGAAATACCCACAATGGACCAATCCAGTTCCTGTCTTTGTCTTCAGGGAAGTTGCCATGTATTCTTTCTTTCCCTCCTGCATTTCCCCTTTCTCACCTCTCCTGCCTCTGTCCCCCTCTCTCCGCCACCTCCCTTCTCTTCACTCTTCTGCTTCCACTCCCTCTTTTTACCATTCCTCTGCTCCTCTCTCTCATCACTTTCTTAGATACACACACAGCACCACCACCATTACCATCACCACCATCACCACCACAATCGCCACCATCATCACTCTTACCACCACCACCACTGCCACCACCGCCACTACCACCACTGGCACCACTGCCCAGCACCACCACCGGCACCGTGCCACCACTGCACCATCACCACTGCCAATGCCACCACCATCCTGCACCCACCACCATCTGTCCGCCACCATCACCACCACCACCACCACTATGACCACCCACCATCACCACCATTACCGATCACCACCATGACCATCACCATCATCATCGCCACTGTGACCATCACCACCATGACCACTATGACCACCACCATCACAATCGCCACCATCACCACCATCACCACCACCACCACTACTATGATCACCACCACCATCACCATAAGCCACCATCACCACCATGACCATCATCACCACCACACATCCACTATGACCACCACCACTACTCACCACCACAATCACATCACCACCACAATCACCACCATGACCATCATCACCACCACCATCACTACCACTACCTCCATGACCACCACCAGCACTATGACCACCGCCACCATCACCACCACAATCGCCACCATCACAACGATCACCACCACCACCACCACATTTATTTGTTCTATGCAAACAAGGAGGCAATTAAATACATCAAAAAGATCTGACATCTGTTCAGTGGCTCTTAAAGGTCAGAGGCTGTGAAAATGAAAAAGAAAATCTTCATCCCTTTTTCAAATGCTAGAACCTCCTCATGGTAAGAATAAGCAAAAGACAATTTTATATAGATATATTTAGTATATGTATATATGTAAGCACATGTCTTATACATGCATATACTCACATGAATCTAAATATTTGTGTATATATGTGTGTGTATGTGTATATAACTAAAGTAATTACTGAACTAATCACTGATCTTTAGGTTTTTTATCGTAAAATAAAATAGCTTTTCTAATCATTTTTATAAGACCTATTTTTTAAGTATTTTATTCTTCACTGAGACCTTCACAATTTCTAATACTTTTTCAAATATAGAGACTAAAACTACCATCAATACAAGTAAGATTCAGCAAATATTAAAGAAGTGTTTTGTTTTATTTCTGTTGGTAAGCATAAAATCTTTTCAATCATTAACAAACATTTATCACAGATCAATGATGTCTTCTTGGTTAAAGTTTGGTGAACCCAATCTCTCCCAAGGGAAATTAATCTCTTCCTTCCCTGATGCTCCAAACACTGCTCCCTTGAACAGGCCTCTGGGACTTACACATTTATCTCTTCCATTACAACGCTGGCTTCCAGGTGGAGCCAGTTCCTTTTAGAATCCCCTGGGTCAGCTTGGTCCTACACAGAGCAGGTGCTCCAAAAATAACTGTCCAAGGAGAAGTCAGAAACGATCCTTAATTGTCTTTAAAGAACCATTTTCTTAGAAATAAGAAGTGTGACTCAGAGGAAAAATAAATAGATATACCAGAAAAATGGAAAATCTCTACCATAATAGCACATCACTGAAAACAAAGGAGGAAAGCACCAACTTTCAGGGTTTATTCAATTCATATAACTTAGCACTTGGTCGGCTGCTCTAATGAGGGGCCTAGATGCCTAAAATGAAATCTTCATCATAGTTGTTCAGATGGAAGAAAGGATCAATGGAATAAAGCCATAACATGGTCTTGTTACTTATATTGCACCTTGTGTTCTTAGGTGGTTATCCTAAAAACTGTATGATTGCATTTCTAATATAAGCTAATTTTTTGCTGCCAGAAAAAAAAAAAAAGGTCTTAATGTTTGTACTCTATAACCAATTCTCTACCACTGGTTTCGACTCTGGACTGTCAGAGGGCCTTTTAGCCACATTACTGTTGATCAACAAGGAAAGTCAGGAAGAGCTGTCCTTTATTCAAGTAGAATTTTTAAGTAAACATGATTAAATATGATCTCAACTCTAATTTCTATAAGTTATATATGTCATTGATCATAATAAATACTTATAAGGAAAAAACAAGGTATTTTAAGATGCTATTACTACACTTTTGGGTTAAAACGTCCGGTTATAACCTCCTACTCCTTAATCATATTGCCTAATAATCTCATTCTACTTCCTAAAATTAGAAGTTATATAGATATTTTCTGAGTAAAGTTAATTTAATCTTGATCTGTGAAATAGTTTTTCCTCAAAATGTAGACTGTCAAGACCATCAGTAAGTTAGACGCTGTGGTACTACTCAGGAGAAGCTTGTTTAAATCAGGGCTGGGGGATGAGAAAGTCCGTTAGCCACGGGAGGAATCAGCTTTCAGCCTTGTCCACTCTTCAGTCTTTACCCGTGGGGTCAGAGTCAGCACATGTGGGTGAAAGAGGCAAGGACGACCCAGTGCCCTGGCGGCTTTAGGGAGGTATTATAACAATGTTGTCTTAAACGAGAACCAAACCTGGGCTTTTTGGAATCACATCAGAGATTGTAAACATACAACAAAATGACTATACTTTCCCTCTGAGTGTGCATGTCAGCAACTCTGCACTCTGCACTCTGTCTCAGTCAACCCAAGCACACCTCCCAGTGAGGCGCAGGATCAGCAGAATCTGCATTTTCTCACAGATCTTCAGCTAAGTTTGAATGCAGCACAGAGTGACCCGCGATGCTCTGGCCAAGGCTGACCCTCCATTCCCATTCCTAACGGTGGAAGGCTCATCTCAAACCTCCTTAGCCACACCAAGGGTCCTAAATGTTACAGGCTTTGGGTAGACATGAGGGCAAGTAAAAATAAAGATAAGCTCTGAAAAGTAACATATATATATATTTGTGATCATTACCTTTTTCTTGGATGCTTCAGACTTCTTTGACATGTTCTTCAACTTTTTATGCAAATGATTAAGAACCTGAAAGACACAGACTAATGAAATCAGTTCGCCTCACCTCTCACAACCCACTGCGTATGTTGCATTAACAATTACTGACATGCTGAAATGGTAGCATCACTATTTATAAGATCATTAAAATGAAAACTCAAATTAGGTGATTAAGTAACAATGAATATGAGTTGCCAAATACATTCTTTTCTAACATGTACGAGCATGCCAGGAAGGCTGATGCACAGCCAGACAAGTTCACAGCCATAGCACCTGTTTGCAGAGAATGCCCAGCATATGGAGCTCTGGGGTCTTGCCCAGAAACAGCCATGCCATGACCCACTCATGCAAGCTTCTTAGTCTATTATCTGCCTTGGTTTCTTCCAGGACCCCATATATTAACAAACACCAGGTCCCTACTACATGTCAGGCACAATGTTAGATCCTGGATGCATCAAAAAACTTGAGATTTGCCCTTCCGAAATTCACCATCTGATGGGGAAAGGAGGCAAGTAAACAAAAGAAGATAATATCATCAGACATTTCTTCAGCGCAGCCCACCCAAATATCGCCAGTGTTTGTGCCAAAATATTCTTTCTTCTTCCTCTTATGGGCTGCCTCCACTGCAATTCTCCTCACAGCAAATCACCACCCATCAGGCTTCCTTTCACTCTTTATTCCAATCCTACCCACGGTGCTGTGCTTGTAGACAACTTATTGGGGATTCAGCATCACCGATGATTTACAGAACGTTTTTGCAAAGGTTTTACAATGAATGTCCCTGTCAGGGAATCTCCTTGAGACACACTGGCTCCCTTAATTAAAGAAGCTATTTTTGTCTTTTCTTGCCAGTGTAATACTCAGGAGAAAGGATATGAAAATGTGGGGTTTTGTGATATAGAAATTTCCAACATATAGTTGGTCCTAGACAACACACACTGTCAAGCCTGCAGAACTGTTACTTAAGTTCATTGCTATATCCCTTGTGAGGGAAAATCTAGAGAAAATCGAGCCCCAGGGTGACTAAGTGCTTTAGATCGTCTGTAGATTGCTGAGAAGTCTCTCAAGGAACCAGAAGCCATGTTCCAACCAGTTCTTTGTTCCCTGTAGCATGGAAATAATTTAATCAAATTGAACTTATTGCAAAAGCCTGCTCCATTCAGCCAGAGGAGGCACTTGCAGAGCAATTAGTCACACCCTACTTGGAAGCCACAGGATATATTTACCAGCTGCCCAGACCCTATGCAGGTGAAGCAGCAGCCGTCACAGGGGTATGAATTTCTGACCTCAAATTCTCTCCCCTACTGAAATGCTTCCCACTTCCTGAAATGACTCAGCAACATCCGCAACAAAACAAGTGTTTACTTGCCACAGGAGCATTTGGGAAAACACTCAATACATTGACAAGGTGTTAGTTTACTGTTCTACCAGCAGAAATGAGAGTATCAGAACCTGAATGCAACAGAATTGGTATCGACAGAACAGGGGCTTGCTTGCAGGAGCAAATGAGAGCGTTTCAAAGAGGAAGGAAAGGGCTGGAGGAGGCAGGACCCTGCCCAAGAGGACAGGACCGCCTAGATGGCACAGTGGCAGCCTTCCCAACGGGAAACCGCAGGACAACACTGGTCACTGAGGACACAGGAGAGACCAGAGGAGAGGCCGCACAAGCAAAATCAGAGAGGGACACCTGGACAAATCACAACAAAACATCCAAACGTGACCAGCTTCATAACGCTGCCGAGCTCCATTCGTTCCTTCCAAAAAGAAATTTGTATCACAGCTCAGCCACTTCAAAACACCTAAAAATGTTGAATGCTGTTGAATGGTCAATGGAGAAAACACTCAAGTATATTTTTTTCAGCTTTGTTTCTCTTCAGTAGCCCATAGTATGAGCACAGAATGATACATCATGATGCACCGTTGAAGGTCTTGTCAGCAAAGGAGGAAGAATGTAGATATCATGATAGGGCATGATGAGGTTTAAGAAGAGAGTGATAACAACATACTGGGGTCTCTTGGTGAGTCTGTACATTTCTGAGTGTGCACAGGAAGGTGCTAGCTCAAACCAAACCCAGGTCCTGCTGGGCACATCCTGGGGATTCGGAGTAACTTAGTCGGGTGAGCCCATTGAGTTTATCCTCGTGGCAGACCAAGGAGGTTCTGGACAGTAATTCACTCTAAGGAAAGTGAGCCAGGGGCACAGCCCTGGTGAAGAACAGCTCCACAGCAGCAGAGGGGAGGGCTCTTCCGGGGGCACTGGGCGGACCACTTCGACTCATCCTCCCGCCCATGTATTCGATGGGTTTCTCAGAAACTGTCTGGTGCAAAAGACTGTTCCCTTACAAACTTGTAAGAATTTGGAGGCAAAAGGCAACTCTGGAATGCAATTGTCTTAAGTTTCTTTGTTTATTTAAAGCATCATAACCTCAGGTTCCCTTTTAGCCAGCTGTGTGTTTTTTTTTTTTTCCAGGCTATCTAACAGACCTGGGGTTTGGAGGAATAGCGAATCCTGAAACCAGTACTCAAGTAGCAAAATCCTTAACTGGATGGTGCACACCTAATGCCTGAGCCAAAGAAAAGCAACTTGAAATAACTTAAATCTCCACCTATCCATGACAGCCCTGAAATTAACTTGTAAATACTATGCTGAATTCAAAATATTTTTCCAGTTATGCTCAGAAGCAAACTATTTCCATATAAAAAGTCCAAATGATCATGTATTCATTAAAATTTTTTTAAAAAACTATTTTTTAAATATTGCCCTTCTGTGGGACTTCTATAGACTTGCAAATGACAGAAATGTAGCCTAATTTATTCCTAAAAGCTTACTTTGTCATTTCCAGTAAGATTTTAGTTCCTCTCCCTAAAGGCTTTGGGGAAATAAGGAAGTGTGTGCTTCAGTTCTACTGCAATAATTAGGAACTTAACAGCCATATATTGTAAGATTCCCAGTCTCAGACTTCAGTGTCCTCAAGGCCTCACCAACTGTCCTGTCCTCAGAAGACTGGGAATCCCTGTGTTAAAATCCTTCCTTCCTTCCTGAATCATTCACCAGCTTCATAATCTGGGTCAGGTGTTGCTTTCCAAAGCTCTTTTTCCTTAAGTAATAAAATATGGGTAAATAATAAAACAGCTCCAAGCCAGAGTTGTGCAAATTAAATGAGATGGTGCACATATCAGATAATTGTGCTATGTAAGATAGCCTTTGTTTAGCATTTACAGAAGACCACATTAATAAACCAGCCGTTTTCCAAATAGCTAAGCTAGAGTTCTTTTCCAAATTCCCTTACTGCTACTATATTGGTGGTGGTGGTGGTGTCGTCGTTGTTGTTTTGAGATGGAGTCTTGTCCCATCGTCACCCAGGCTGGAGTTCAGTGGCACAATTTCAGCTCACTGCACCCTCTGTCACCTGGGTTCAAACAATTCTCCAGTCTCAGCCTCCGGAGTAGCTGGGACTACAGGGGCCCACCACCACATCCGGCTAATTTTTATATTTTTAGTACAGACAGGGTTTTACCTTGTTGATCAGGCTGGTCTCAAATTCCTGACCTCAGGTGATCCACTTGCCTCGGCCTCCCAAAGTGCTACTATATTTCTTTATATTTAACCTTTTGGTGCAGGCCGTTCAGATAATATCCAGCAATATTATTATTCAAAATCGACACGATCTACATAGATGAAATAGGTAGGGGGAAACAGGTGGCTTATTAGTAAACACTTCTGTTGATAAAAATACCGTGTGAATTGAGTATTAAAAGTGACAGCTGTTCTACCTAATCAGGTTATTTGTGGTCACATAGTCACAGCCTTATTGAAACAGAATGAGAGACCGAGGTGAAGTCAGAGGGAACCTGGTAACAGAGCTGTATTTCAAATGGGCACGCTCTGGAGCGAGGAGGCTGCGCACACTGGGGTTTACCCCGTGAATCGCCATCACCTGATTATTAAAATAAGCTCTTGTTTACGCAAATAGAAACACGTGTGTCAAAGGCTGAAGACGTTTTGATCAGTATAAAGTCTTCAAACACTTGTGGACGCAATGAAAAAGAACGTGAGTTCTGAGCTCTGCCCGGCTGTACAAAGAGAAAAACGATCTCCCACACGCGTGGACGGTGCCTCTGCTACAGTGAGGGTGAAGATCCGCCGCCTCAACCACTTCACCCTGTTCAGGAGACCTTTCTAAAAAGGATTGAAATGGGGAAGCCGAAAGCTCGAGTCCATTCCATTCCAAGTTCCTGGAGCCTGCGGTCAGGACTCTGTAAAGAAACACCGTTTTATAAAGCTAAGCTTCAGAATAAAATTCAAAGCTCTGTCCCCGGGAGCAATGGCTTCACAGAGCCCGGCGTGCGCAAAGCCTTCGGAGCGAGGGCAAACTGCGCACCCCGGGGGAGAGGGGCCGCCCCGCGAGTCCCCCCGACGGCCAGCTGAGAGCCCGGGAGGAAGCGGTGGGGACCCGTCACCCTCGCAAACGGTCCGCGCTCTGGTGACCACGCGCTCTCCTCGGGTCCCACAGCGCCGCGGCGGTAACCTCCCCGCACAGCTGATCTGGTTGAAGAGTTGCTGGAACCGAGCAGGGTTTGCGGTACCGGGAAGGAGGCGGCAGCGCCCGCCTACCGCCCAGGCAACCTGGGGGCTTTGAAGCGCCGCAGGGGTGAGGAAGGGGAGGGGAGGAGAAACTTGTTCTACCAGACCATGCGAAGTGAACTGCAAACTTTCCCCAGCATCTCTCAGACGCCAAGTAACTTTCCTGCGCGAGCCAATGGCAAGCTCCAGCAGCGGCAGGGAGCCTCCCCGCACAGATCCGCCCCAGCACCGGCGGGGTGGAGGCCACCAGGGCCCGGCTGCCGCCAAGGCCCCGGCAGGGCCGCAGGCCACTGGGACCTCCCGGCCCCCCACCCTCCCTCGCGCGTCTCGGCCCGGCGCCCGCCGCGCACCTTTGCATAGCAGAAGCAGATGAGCAGGAGCGGCAGCAGGTAGCCGAAGACGAAGGTGCACACCACATAGGCCTTCTTGTGGCGAGGGTCAGGCCACTGCTCCCAGCAGAAAGTCTGGTTGCTGGCGCGCGGCTGGAAGAGGCCCTGGTGGTAGGCCACGGGCGAGGCCATGGCGATGGACAGCGCCCAGATGCAGCTTACGCCCAGCAGTGCGTTGCGGGACACCCTGAGGGAGGAGGAGCGCCGCGAGTGCACGATGGCCACATAGCGGTCCACTGACATCGCGGCCAGGGTGAAGATGCTGACCAGCATGGACACGGTGAAGAAGTAGTGTATGAACTTGCAGATGAAGGCGCCCAGCACCCAAGTGGGCAGCGCGTACACCGTGGCCTGGAAGGGGATGCAGAAGAGCAGGTAGGCCAGGTCGGCGATGCTCAGGTTGAGGATGAACAGGTTGGTGGTGCTCCGCGGCTTGCCCGGCTTGCTGCGCGCCAGCACAGTGATCACTAGGCTGTTGCCCAGCACGCCCAGCGTGAAGATCAGGCCGAACACCACCAGCGTGACGAAGTTCTCCACGCCGATGCCGAACAGCGGCCCGGGCTCCGGGGCTGGGGGCTCCGGCCAGCTCGCGTTGCCCTCGCTGAGGTTCCCGACCGCCAGCTCCATGGCCCGCGGGGCTGCCCGGGCTAGTGGCGGGGCGCGCGGGGAGGGAGGGCGGGTGCCTGGCAGGAAAGTAGGCGCCGGGGGTGGCCGGTAGTCCCGGCGCAGAGCACGGAGAGCGCGAGTTTAGGAGTCTGAGCTTCCCCTGAGGCGCGCGCCAGCGGGCGCAGGGATCCGGTGGCCGTGCCTGAAGGCACCGTCTTTGCGCCGCGACCTTCTGCGAGAGGGCGTGGACGGGAGCCTGGAGCTGGACCTTCTCGGGAAGGGACGGTGGTCTTGAGAGCCCTGGGTCCCCTACCCGGGCGCCTCCGCCCGCTGCGCGACCACGGAGCCTGGGAAGGAGGATCCGCCGGCTGCAGCCGCGCAGGTGGAGAGACCCTTCTCTCCGCCTTACTGGTCCAGATCTTCGCCGGCCGTTTTCTCTCGCTCCCGGAGCGGCTGCGGGCTGCACCTGTTGCTCAGAGCCGCTCCTTCCCGCGGCGCTTCCCCGCACTGCCGAGCGCGCAGCAGCGCACCGTGAGGCTCCTGCAGAGAGGGCTCCCCGCGCCTCCCACGCCACCTCCCCAGTGGGCTGGTGCCTGCAACTCCCTCCCGGCTTTTCCAGGGATTCCGAGTTGTCCACAAGGCGAAAGCTCTTTTGGGGGACTTCCTGGTGGTGGATAGAGTCGGGTGCCAGGGGCCTCTCGGCTTCAACTGAGAGACGAAGACAGCCTGGCTGAAATCCGCGCCCCCTAGAAGTCACGGTGCGCGAGCAGAGACTGGACGGATTCTCGCGGGATGGGTCGCCGCCCACCTCCCGGCCGGAACCCGCGCGCGCTCGCCTCCGCGGGGTGCGGACCTGCACGGCTGGCTGAAGGCGGGGCTGCCAGCTGCCGCGGGCCGGGCGGGCGAGGAAAGCCGGGCGCTCTCCAGGGCGCTCCAGAGCGCGCCGAGGGGGAGGCGGAGGAGTTCGCGGGCCCCCTCACCCATCAGTGTCTGTCCTCCTCCTCCTCCCCAGGGTGGCTGTCCGGGAGAAAGCCTCTGTCCCTGGAATAACCCCAGGAAATCGAGGCTGGCGCCGCTCCCTGGAGTTTTGTAAAATTGGCCACCTAATCCCACCCTCACCCGCGGCCTGCTGGAGAGGAGAGAAGTGCGAAGGGAAAGGGCTGGGTGGGCTTCTCTATAGATGTGGATGACATTGAAGGGGAAGACTGTTCACACCACTCAACCTCACATCATTTTTGCCTTGCATTACTCATCTGAGGGCCATAAACTGAAGCAATGACAAAATATTTTTAAAGTGAAAGAACGTGCTTACTATCTTACTGCGGTAAATGTAGATTTGCCAGAAAGAAATTAAGCCGTTTCGGTATAGCAGGGCCAGTCACGTTATCTTTGTAACCTTGGTGGTTCCCAGCTAGAGAGCCGACACTGATTCCTTTATTTGCGGTGATTTGTCTGTTTCACTTTCAAAAACACTGATGCGTTTCCAGCATTCTCCATCTGGTGATTGTCCATTATGCGCGGACGCAGTGCCTGAGGGCATGGGTAATCCAAAGACCAAAGAGGGCAGGGGCTCTTCACCTTAGGGAGTTGTAGGATCTTGTTTTTCTATCTTGCTAGCTCTGTTCTGCCTCATTTCCAGATAAATCTTGATGCTGTTCATTGAACATCTGTGTATTTTATGAACATCTATGTATTTTATCTGCATTCATTGCTAGGGAGTTCCTTGCAAGGGAATTGTTCTATTCACATACATTTTCTGGAAGACAAAATTGAGTGTAAGCAACTTGCCAAGAATGCTCTTACCTGCCCTGACCCGAGAGAATGCCTTGAAACTTCCTTAGGTAATCTTGCCAATCCGTATTGCTTTTTTCCCTGAGATGCTCTCCGACCCAGGCTTTTTCAAGGTATCATGTTGTATTGGACACCTCTGTTGCATTGAAAGTTAGTAGTAATATGATTTGGAAGAGTTTTTAAATTATGAACTATTTTGACATGAAACAGATATGATAAAATTACATTGCATACCAATGAACCCACCATCCAGCTTAGAATAATTTTTAAATATTATCAATGGAGTTGAAGTCACTTTTGTATACTTTCCAATCACAACCTCCACCTCTCCTACTATCTCCAAGTAACCTAAATTTGTTGTCTATTAGTCATTTCTTTATACATTTTTGGCATATGCATATGATCTTAAATAATACATTGTAGTGAGGTTTTTTTTTTGTTTGCTTTAACATTACGTAGTTGGTATTACGGTACATGTTTTGTTTGTTTTTGCCTCAAAGTATAATTTGTCTGTTATTGCTATAAGTACACCAACATTCTTTGCTTTGTATTTGCCTGTTACATCTTTTGCAACCTTCCTGTTATGTCCTGCAATTTAAAGGTATTGCTTTAATATAGCACATAACTGAATTATTTTAAAACATAATTTTAAAATCTCTAGTTTTTAACTGGCAAGTTTAGGTCATTTTTATTATTACTAATCTATATGGATTTTTAACATTTTATTTTGTACTTTTTGTTTTCTATTTCTGTGCTTTTATTTTTTCTTTTTTCATGACATCTTTTGAATTGCATTTGAAAGTGTTTTCTCCCTTCCTCCACATTCTTGGAAAAGGAAGATATGGCCTACTTTTATTATTTTACTGGTTACCCTTAAGTGCCTACTATGTGCCAGGAACTATTGTAGGTTCTGAAAATAGAGCAACTAACACAACAAAGTTATTTCTTGTGTGGATTTTACATTTCATTACGGACATGACATTTAAAAATAAAATAATGTCACATGTGGTAAACACTGATATAGTTTAGATACCTGTCCTCGCCAAATCTCATACTGAATTATAATCCCTAATATTGGAGGTGGAGCCCAGTGGGAGGGTTTGGGTCAACGGGGTGGATAGCTCATGGCTTGGTGCTGTCCTCAGGACAGTGAGTCTCAAGATCTGGTTGTTTGAAAATATGTGGCACCTCCTCCCTTCTCTCTCTTGCTCCTGCTCCTGCCATGTAAGATGTATCTGCTCCCCCTTCACCTTCTGCTATGATTGGAAGCTTCCTGAGACCTCCCCAGAAGCTGAGCAGATGCCAGCACCATGCTTCCTGTACAGCCCACAGAACTGTGAGCCAATGAAACCTCTCTTCTTTATAAATTACCCAGCCTCAGGTATTTCTTTATAGCAATGCAAGAATGGCCTAATACAACCCTAAAAGAGAAGAATGCAGGAGAAGGGATAGAGAGCAGTTAAAGAGTGTAACTATATACAGGGCAATTGGGAGAAACATCTGAAAAACTGACATTTGAGCAGGAACCTGAAGGAAGTATAGCAGGAAACCTTTTAAACAGGTAGCATGACACATTCCTGGGAAACGGTGCAGCGAGGAAGCTGTGTAAAGAATGAGGAGGACAGTTTTGCCGTCATGGAAACAGCTGGGAAGATTTGTCAGCCATGAGGCCAGAAAACATTGGTTGAGGAAAATGGGGTTGGATGACCTCGGACCTTGGAGAGCAAGGAAGGGGCCTGGGACTTCATTCTGGACTTCAGAGGAAGTCTTGCAGGGAGTTTTGAGCAGAGCGATGTTATGCTCTGACCTGCGATTCAGAACGATGATTCTGGTGTACAGATTAGAAAAGCAAAGGAAAGAGCAGAAGACCTGGCAGTAAGCTTGCAGGAACCTAGACAACAGATTGTTCTAGGTGTGGTGGGAAGGGCTTGGATTCTAGATATCTCAGTGTTGGAGCAAATGAGATTTGTTGGTGGATGGATTTAAGGGGAGAGGAAAGGGAGAGTGAGGTTGACTACCACAGTTTTAGTCTGACAGCCTGGATGGGAAATCACCAGTTACTGAGTTGACAGAGTGAAAGGAACAGGTTTGGAGGTGGGGAGCATCAAGTTAAATTTTAGGTGTTTGCTAGACATGGGACTGACAACATGGCAGTTGGGTGGATTTATTCTTGAGATAATGAGAGACCAGTGCTGGAGACATGGATTCAGAAGTTACTAAAATTCTATTAATATTAAATGGAATTTAAAATTAATTGTTATCACTCCCCTCCTCCCAAGCAATACAAGTTTCAGGAAGCCTTCTAACTCCAGTCACTTTTTCTCATTCTAGCTGGTTTTGTTGCCCAGTTGTTTAGTTTTTAATTTCCCCCCAATCAGGCATATTTGTTGTTGTGTGATACAGGCACTATCCAGTTTGGTTACCCACCTTCTTACCCATGACTTTCTTCACCTTCTTCTATTCATCTGAAGCCTTTTCATTGTTTTTAGAGAATATATTTCAAGTTTTCCTTCAGTGATAGTGATAAGAATTGCTCACTGCTACTTGTTATTGAATGGGAGTTGTCCAGATAGACGCTTCTTTCCTCCTAGCGCACTGAAGATCTTGTTCCACCTTCTGGATTTTGCTGTTGCTCTTGAAAAACCAGCTGACATGCTTTCTGTCACTCCATTAGAGACAATCGGACTTTATTCTCTGTTTCTAATATCTTCTCTTTATCGTTGATGTTTTATAATTTCACTTTGATATGTTTGTGATGATTTTCATTTTTTAGCCCTTCTTGTTGAGCTTCTGAAGCTAAAGATTAATATATTTTTCATCAGTTCTGGAAAAACTTTCAGCCATTATCTATTTTTCCCATTCTTGGCACTCTCTCCTCCTAGAGTTCTGAGAGACATAGCTTAGACCTTTCCACTATCTCCTTCCTATCACTGACTCAGTTTTTCATACTTTTAATCTCTTCATCTGTGCCTATTTATTCGTATTTCTTCAGTTATACACCCTTGATTTAACTGTTCTCCTTAAGTTTTCACAGAATTTTTTCAAATGTGGCAGGCCTTTTTTTTTATTTGCTTCCTCATTTCTGATGTTTCTAATTACCTCTCCTATTTGAATATTTTAGATATGCTGATTTTATATTCTGAAAATTCTAATAGCTGAAGTCCTTAGAGTCTAATTGTGCTTTTATTATTTCTACCACGTTCCTATTCTCATAACTTGTTTCCAATTTTGTTTTGTTTTGTTTTTGTCCTTTAGATTTCTGTTGGGCCAAAGCATATCTGTGATGATTTTATAGGCCTGAGTTAAGTGCATACTCCCATGAAAGTGTTTTTATTTGCTCTGCCATTGGCCCAATGGTACTATCAACTCAGGGCATTTTTGAGTTAATTTCTCAGCATCATATGCCTCAGGACACGCAAGGGCAAATTCAAACCCCAAAACCTACATAAGAGAGGGAATGGGGAATGAATTATCAGGCCTTTCCCTCCCACCTGGCCCTAAGGCTGCCACAGAGTTTTCTAGAAGTATCTGTGGGCAGATTGCTTTATTGCTCCCACTCATTTACCGCACTCCCTATTGGAAAATTCTGTAATCCTGCCTCTCCTGGGTGACTGTGTGCTCCTCTCAGGGCAGAAATGAGTCTTACTCTTTCCTTCAGGCTTTGGCTGAGAAAATGTGAGTGCAACAGCTGTGAGGTCATCCTGAGCTCAAGGTCTAAGGGATACCATGGG